ATGAACGCACGATTCTCGTGCCGTCCGTGTACCGTCTAGGCTCTCGGGTTTCTCTCAGAGAAAAGTTTAAGGAGACTGGTATCATGATTGTGGCATCACAGTACATTTACTCAAATATTTTATATGCCCGTAAAAATATACATGATTTCAATAAGAAAGAAGATATCCATAATATTAACCTTAGAGCTAAGTCCAAACTCATGGTACCACGATTTCGTTTAACCAAGGTAAACAACTCTTTTATGGGGAACTGTATACGTTTTTACAATAAGAGTCCGGAGCATATTTTAAGTTTATCATTTCCTAAGTTTAAAAAGTACATTAAAAATATTTTGATCGAAAAATCATATTACAAAATTGAAGACTACGTGTTAGATAAAGATGTATGAAAAGACGACATGGCTCCAGAATCCACACAAATTTGATTCAAAGTGCATAGCATTTAAGTTTATTTGAAAATAGCAATCCCTAGAGTTTCTTGCTCGTTCTTCTACGGGAGGTCAGCATAGTGAACGAGCAGTAGCTTAAATGTGATGTTTTCAAGTGTAAATTTATTTTACCTATGGAATAAATAATCTTTGACTTTGACTTTGACTTTGACTTTGAATTGGCATTACAAAAAAAAGAAAAAACTTGTTTTTTTTATCTTTATTTATTCACTTAAACGACTCGAGTTGTTTGCAAAGGACTTCTACCTATTTTATGTCTTATTAAACCCGAAGTTTACAAATAAAAATGACATATGTAGTAAATAATCACGTTTATTTACTTATAATAAAAATCGTAAAATAAATACCTTGTGGGTAGAAATAAAAACACGCCATACGTCTCATGACTCGCGACTCCCGAGGCTATGAGGCGCCAGTCGTTTTAGTCGTTTTAGTCCTATAAGTCTTTCAAGCTTCCTAGGGTTAAAAGACTTCGACTCGAATAAAGTCTTCAGTTTTAGTTTTATGACTCAAGACTTAAGGGTTAGAAGACAACACTAGTCGTGAGGCGTTGAAAATTAGTCGAAGTTTTTCGAAAATTAGGCGTTGAAAATTGGTCTCTTTCAACACTGTACAACGTATTGATATGCCAGTTCCATCGTACCCTAATCTATAGCTTATATGTCTGGGCGGCACTGTTATAGAGCCGATTCAACAAATAGTAAAAGTCTTGCTTAACATACAATTTATGCATCTAAGGACGGTTGATCTGCAGGTCTCTCATCAACGCCGCCCTCTGTTATTCGTACCGGACACATTCCAGTAACAAAAGATATGCATCTTCCACTACTCCACGTAACTCGCAATTAGGAGAATTGTTTTTCTTTTTCATTAAAAAAGGAAAACTGTTTAATGGAACGTGTTTGGTTCTCATCCTTAGTGTAGAAAAACAAACTTGTTATTCATTGTTCACGAATATTTGATAAATAACAAATGTCTGCCAATCTGAGACATAAGTTAATAAAGACAAGTCCCATGTGCCTGTAAATTCACCAGTATTATCTGGTTTTCGGTTATTTTCCAGTTTTGATAGTTATTTCTATATAATTAAATATTTATTGAATGTCAGAATGTTTCATAAGCATAATATTCAATTCTTTTTTGTGAAACCGTGTCAGAGGCTATGCCAAGTAAGCCACGGAACGAACAAGCGAATCTCACGATAATTTCTATGTGCTTGTTGTCGGATCTTTGTATTTGGTTTTCAACGACTTTTTAGCCATAGCGCCACCTATGCGAAATCTATGAAAGTATTTCGTCACCCAGTCAGGTACCTTTACAGCTACCAGATCTGTCGCTATTAACTGTAATTAAATTTCTATTGAATGTCAAAAATTTCACCACCATGATTTTCAATTATTTCCATATACTTTTAACACATAACTACGAAACTCAGTAAATCAATACAGGTTCCGGTGAAATACTTACTAATCTGAGAGGGTAACTCTGGTGGGAGAAACTTTAACGTTAAGCTCTAACTTAATTGCGTTAACCAACAGTTAAGTAGTGACATTTGAAATCCTGGACTCGGACCAAGTTTAAAGTAGACGATGTTAAAGTAATTACTTTCTAGTGTTTGTGTTAACATTAAGTATTTAGTTTTATAAACAACTGTGGAATAAAATTAATGAAATTACGTAGTTAATTATCCAGAATCCTCTTTTCACGAAATTCCTTTCAGAATAAACAACATTAGCTCTACAATCATCGGATAAAAAATTCCGTAGTCTCCATACAAAATCACGAGTTGTTTATTGGTTTGTAAGTGGTTTTTAATGAAAGATTTGTAGTAAAAATCTAAATTTGTGTAGTTTAGTCATAGCTGCTGCGGCTGCCACGGTTCCGCAGTGCCTCTGCCGTGTTTGCTGAAGCTCGCGTCGACAGCTTCATGGCGCTCTTATGGAAAAAGTCGGCGTCTTTATTAAACAGAATACTTAGCAGCAGCAACGGCCTACTGAAGACTATCACGAATAGGAGTGAGTGCCCCGTCATGTGGCATTTAATAACAACGACAAAATCCGTAGTAGAATTTACGTGCTAAACCTATAAGCTATTTTTGTTACTAACACTTCTTGGATCCCTATTGTCCGAAATAAAGATTTTTTTTATTACTATAGCCATGTATTCTGGCTGATTCTGGCTATCTGTTTAAATTTAAATTAATAATAGTAACGCACACACTCAACATAGCCCCGCACTATGGAAACCCTGTATCACGGGTGCCGTGTGTTCATACATAGACAATCACAAATTACACCCAAAGTCGTGAGAGAAATAAATGTAGGCTATACGGCTCGGTCGCATGCGTGGCAGCACAAACAGCATCCTGAACACATTGACAGATAGGTGGGAGTCCCCAATGTTGTGGCGGTGGATGCGTTTGCACACCGCTAGCTATTCACTGCTCTAACATTGGCTGGGCAGTTATCCTCCCGCCTATTAAACAAATTATTATTTAATTATTATTAGTATTGTCTTTATTTTTATTTTTATGTTTAAACTAACACTAGCTTAAGTACTTTTTATTAACAAATATTATGGATCACGTTGTCTGAGAATAAAATTATTATTATTATTATTATTATACAAATATTTCTCCCGCCTCGGGAATTGAACCTGCGACCTCTGCATGGCTTACTCACGTGAGTTCGGGTGTAATTTTTGGTTGTCTACGTGTGAGTCCACGTGCCACGTGCGATACAGAGCTGCTTTAGTGCGGGACTATGAGAGTGTGCATTATATCAATTAGAATTTTACCATATTTGTCACTAGGAAAATTAGTTTCTCAAAAAAAATAATATTGAGCAATAATCGACAAGTGCCTTACGCTGATTGGAAAATGGCAAAAATTATAGTGTATACCATCGATACGTCAAGAAAAAGAATGTAATAATCGAATCAAATTAACTTAATTTGTCATGCAATACAATAAGAATAGACAATACAAAACAAACATATCGAGTTCTTAAATTATCGCAATTGTTACACTTTGCAAATGAAACTGCTTTTTCGAATCTAAATCGCGAATATTTGTTTTTTCAAATTGACTAACGTTTTGGATCCTTTACAAGTCAAAAGGGTTTACGACTTAATATCAAAAAAGCTGTAAAGTACTATCGGCATAATCGACGCGTTACCACCTTAAGGGTTCTTTTTGTGTGCACGCAACAACGGGCTATAATCGTTATTCGCAGCTTTTTTGTTCCTATCAACCAATGACTTAGTAGCAGTAGAGCTCTTTGTGAAAGAGTGCGTCCAGGGAATTACTGCCACCTTACCTATTTCTGCCGCCAAGCAGTAAAGTGAGCATTACTGCGCTCCAGTTTAGAAGGGTAATGGTGTTGGTGAAATTAAAAGCACATGAGACTTGTCTACTTATGTCTCAGCGTGCCGGGTGCAGTGGCAGTGCCCATAAGATCTTTGCGATTTAAAGCTCTGAATGGCACTGCAACTGTTATAGACAGGCGTATCACTTACCACCAGATGTGCTACTTGTTCGCCCCATCACTGATGTTTATGGCAACAAAAGTTTTTGATAGATTTTAGCTATGGTTTTTCGAACACTAAAAGTGTCTCGACTGTACTCGTGTGACCATTGTAAATTAACAGTGTAAAATTCAAGTGAATATAAGTTTCTGTCCTGTGAAAGCTTTTATGAATATCGACCAAATCAATCTACAGTCCACTGTAAACAAGAATCCAACAACTTAGTCTCATAAAAAAACCTTTTAAGTACTAAGTCACATTTTTATTATCAACGAAATAAGGGACGGAATTAACTACAAACTCCGCTTGCAAAGAAACCAGTTTTGGAACCAGGTAAGCTTCAACTTACCTGATAGTCTTTAGTGATATTCTGCCATAGTCCGTAAATGTTAAGAATAGACCAACAATCGAAAATATACATTAACACCATTATATAATGAGATACAACCTCGGTAGCCTACCGGTTTGCACTGTGGGCACTGGATGAATTTGGTGGAGGATGTTTTTCAAAAATCTGGTCGATTATTTGACTTTTATTAGAAACTAAACTAACTAAATGGTTCGGACATGTGGAAAGAATGAATGAAAGAAGATTGACAAAACGGGTTTATGAGGCGAGTGTGAGCGATCCGCAACAAGCATTTAGAGAAATACGCAACTTTCACACAGAAAAAAAGGATTTCTACTAATAAGAAAGAGCAATTTCTCAAAATATTTGCTAATTCTGAAAACATATTTATTTAAAGTAATAAAATATTGTCATTACAAAGATACTGCTTATCTTTTTCTAATACAATTTTACTCTTAACTTTATTCTAACTTTGAGACAAATACGTTCACTTCAAGATTTTATTTCATTTCTAATCAATTAATTGGACATTACTTACATCAAGAAATTTTTTCCTCTTACATCAAATCTAAATAATCTCAAATGAATCCCCAATTTCTTGGATGTATTTTAAGAAAATATTTTCTTAGACAAAAAAAAAGTTATTTTGCCAATAAGAGTAATATTCTAAATTCGAGAATACATTTTTTATGGCAACATTTTGCTTTGTCATTTTCAATCATGTCGTGACATGTTGAAAACGCGCGCGCTCCGTCTCCGTGGCCGTGGTATCTGCGATTGAAGAAGCCATCCATAAATCAATAGCCAATTATTTAAAATGTGAAGCAAAGTGAACTATACTTACTTAGTTTTACTTGAAATCTTAAAAAGGTAAGGCAAGGAGAATAAAATCTTAAAAAGGAACTGATTTTTCTATTTGTTGTTTGTGGAAACAGTAATGGATTCGTTGAAAGAACTTTTGGAATCGTGGAATATACCACAAGTTGTAGTGACCAATTTTATTGGTGAGTGATTTGATGTTATTATGAATTAATTGTGTAAGTATTACATTTTTATGCGCATGATATTTTGTACGTAACGTTGAATGTAAGCGTAAAATGGAGGGATCTTAGACGAACTTTTCCTAGAAATAGGTATACAGTATACTTAAACATGGGATTATTTAATTTATGAGTTTTTATGTAAATAATCTCTGTTTAGAATCCCGATTTAATGTCGTCATTGTTTATTAAAAATAATGTACCTATCTACCTTTGAAATGCGTGACTTCGACAATTAGCATTTTACAATAGAAACTAACTTTTAACTGCCTCTGTGGCGGTTACCTTGCCGGACTGCCACGCAGAGGTCCCAGGTTCGATTCCTGGGCCGGGAGAAATATTTATACGGCCTACATTTATTTCTCTCGTGAGTTTGGGTGCAGTTTGTGGTTGTCTATGTGAGGTTCATGGCACCCGCGACACAGGGTTTCCCTAGTGCAGGGTATATTCAGTGTATGTGTTATTGAGTGTGTGTGTTATTAAACTAGAAGTAAAATACATAAAAAGATATTTGATTTAATTTGACTTTATTTACAAACTTGACTACTTTTGCAGAGAATGGTATAACGATTGAACATTTCCCCAAATTAAAACTAGACAATTTGAAAGAATTATGCCCACATATGGGGACTAGACTATCTTTAGAGGAAAAGATAGGGGAGCTTATTACTGCACAGGTGAGGGACCTGTATGTTTAAGTTAAAAAATTTAGTTGAAAGTGCTTTCATACTGACTATCTTAACATAGTTTGACTATAAAATACACAATATATTCTATTTTTTTAACTTTACAGGCAACGACGGATGCAGTATCTGAATCAACTGATGATCAAGTCATTATTACTCCCACCTCCAGTAAATTTGAGACAAGCACCAGTGATTGTTTATTTTTGTTAGTTTTTTACCAGTTTATTAGTTTCATTAGATGAACTACAAATGGTCGACATCTTGGAAACAACCAAAAGTGTATCTAGAAAAACATTTCCACATTTTGATTTGGAGACACTACTGCATACGTCAGCAGGTGGCAATAGTATTTTAAAATACTATGAAACATATGGTTTTCTCAATAATACCAAGAGAAACCAGTTGACTGATATAATTATAAAACATATATACACATACATTGTCAATTAGTAAGTATATACTGTATATATTAGTAAGTATATACTGTGTTCTGATTACTTTTACACTTCCCAATAATACATCATCATTTTTTTTAGCCGGATAACCTATGAAGAATATAATATTATATCTGCGAAAATAATATCACTGTTTCCAAAGGAGTCAATAGGCACTTATTTTACCAAACCTATAAAAAAAAATAATTCATTTAATGGACGTTCTACAGTAGCACGAGGAAAATTGGTGGACAAAGTCCGTAACCTTCTGTATAAATATGGAGACCACACACAAGCGACAATCTGGCACTCTAGAAAATGCTTCACCGTTTAAAAGACAGTATATTCAAGGTTTGCAAGGTAATTTTTTTTTAAATAGGCTTGCAATTAAACCCACTGACTTTCACTGGGTTAAAGCAATTTATGAACCTATTTAGGTATTTGAGAGTAGGTATTCTAAGTCGCATCATTCTGGGTTTTTAATACAGGTAAATGTAACTGTAAATCCACTGTAAGTGGGCCCCATTTACAGTGGTCCAAAAATTTTTCTACATAGAGGAGTAACAACCCATTTAAAATAAACATTACTTTAGCAAAAATCAATAGCTTAAGTTATGATTTTTTTATGTACTTTCTTGAAAATTTTCTACTCTAGTCAAAAGTTTAAAACTAGTCTATTTTGAAAATTATTCCACTAAATTAATTGAAATTTGGTATTAAAGTAGTAGTAACCATGTAGCTAGCATGGAATGAACCATTTTTGTGTTTGTTCTTAGATTACTCCGTTATTTTTTAGACAATTCATGTTCATGAGTTTCTACAATTTTAACTCTCTAATGGTCATAATGTACACAAAAAGAAAATGTTTAAAAACATATAGAGAACTTCTGATAAATAGATAGGTTTGAGAATAATTTCATGTAAATCTGAGCTGAACCAATGTTTTCTTTTGAGAAATTAAGTTAAAATTGTTTGAATAACGATTATGATACTGGTGGTGGTTTTAATGACTAGAATAGAAAATATTGAAAAAGTATGGATGGCAACGTGTCAAGTTACACATTGACGTATCTTGTTCCGTTGCACTGGAGGCGATTTTCAAATAAAAATGTGTGGTCTGATGTGCTATTGACTGTAAATAAATAATCATGAATTCTAAACTATTGAATTTTGCTGAACTAATGTTTATTTTCAATAGGTTGTTTTGTTACTATATCCTCTATCTAAAAAAAAATCTATAATATTATTATTATTAGATAGGAACAGGTACTTACGTGGGATAGGCATTTGTCAGGTGATTGGAATGCAGGTAAATAATGAAAGTCTTACAAAACATTTCAATAAGGATAAAATGAAACACTAACATGATTTTTTTTAGATTTACATTTAAGAGATATACTGTTTCTCAACAATAACACCGAACCATGGGGTGAAGTAATACAAAAATGTAAACATACGTTTAAAGTTCGAAAAGAAAGTGAACACAAGAGCGTTCATGAGTTTCTACAAGACTGGAAAATATTATCAGACCAAAGAAGTGACATATTGGTATGTAATCTGTTTTCATATGTTTTACGTTTCATTTCTGAGCTAGGGTCCCTCCATCTTGACGCAGACCAATCATTTTGACAACTATGATATTTGTTTTCAGATAAACATTGACTTCGACTTGTTGTATCCAGAAAAAGGGCTGAATTTTTATTTAAATTGGAAAATATTTTTCGAAAAAATTATTGCTTTTAAACCGAACAGAGACGAAAGAATCTTGAACCTTATTGAGTCACTGAAAAATTTAGACAATGATTGTAAGTGTTCGTTTTTAATTGTATAAAGCTTGAGATAGAATTAGTAAAATAAATAATAATAATAATAAGAAAATGTTTATTTCAGTAATGCAATTAACTTTACATTAACAGTGGATGGTACCTCCTATTAAGCTTGTCAAGCGTCAGTGTCAGGAGGTACCGCTCTTCCATAGCTATAAATTCACATTTAACATTTTTAACTTAGTCTGTCTGTCCGTCAGTCCGTCTGTCCGTCGGTCCGTCGGTCCGTCTGTCCGTCTGTCCGTCGGTCCGTCCATGTGTCAGTGTGTCCGTGCGTGCGTGCGTTCGTCTGTCCGTCCGTCCGATCGATTGGATCGATTGGGCCGATCGATTGAATTGTCTGTTTGCAAATGTTGTATTTACTTTACCACAATGTCTTTCCTTCTTCTCTTCGAAATATTTAGATCTAATTTAGAGGCCTACGTTGTCTGATTAAAGTTTGAGTGGTATAGAGTTTCGCTACAGTGGCTAAATTTGATAGATAAAATTGTATAATATTATTTTCAATTGTTACAGTAACACTTCCTGCTGAGCTTAAAATACTCGCACATCTGGTGCCTCCAAAGGGAAGAATTTCAAAAAAAATTAAGTTCACTACTCAGCAATTGACTCCTTATATATTTGTGTGCCGGTATGTTTTTTTTTAATAGCCCCGCCCTAGGGAAACCCTGTGTCGCGGGTGCCATGGATATACACATAAACAATCACAAATTACACTCAAACTCACGAGATAAATAAATTTAGGCCATACAAATATTTCTCCCAACCCGGGAATCGAACCTGGGACCTCTGCGTTGGCAGTTCGGCATGCTAACCGTTTGGCCACGGAGGAAGTTATATATGTCGACTCATCCGAAGTCCGATATGATTATATAACAAAAAGAGAATAAGAACGTTACGAGAATAATTTCGTTATTCAAACTAAGGCCTATGTAAAGGCGTTTTGACAATTTATATATCTTATTTCGTTTCGAAAATATAAAATCCAACAACAGTCGATCTGACATTTACAGCGAAGAAGAACAAACGAAATGTACTATGTCCTGAGAACAAGTAGTCTTGCACATATAGATCTTTGTTCTACGGATGAGTAGGTATATATATATAAAACTGCCTCCTGTATATAATATATGTATTTTTTGTTTTCAATATTTATGCCTCATTTATAATATTACTTTGTGGTAAAGATTGGCTCACAAATCTGTTGTGGATACTTATTATGTTTCATGTACTCTTAATACTATCTTAATTTCTAGAATGCTGGCGATATAGACCAAGTAATCAAAGAACAAAAACAAAAGGCGACAAGCAAGAAATTGTCTGTTCAACCCTATGTTATACTCCAGGGATTAGATATGTTATACTCCAGGGATAGTGTGATTGTTTAAATTATTCAGAAGGGTTGTTGCAGTGCAAATTTATATAAAATAAGTAAGTTACGTAAACAAGCCCTAAGGTTTATTGAATTATGGTTTGTCACACATATATGCATATATGTAGGGACACGAATTTTATTTCTGTGAGTTGTAATTTAATTTTCTATGTTAAAGTTTTTCATGTCAATAATTCATTTTGTATTTTACTAATATTATGCCAGTATTGTATACGTGTACAAAAAATAAACGTTTTTTAATTTATTTCCTAAATAAGTATAATCTTTTTATTATTTAAGTCGTTTTGTGTCATTTTCATCAGTCATTGTATTTTAAGCCTGCAATTTTATTTTGTTTAAATTTGTGAACAATTCTCAAAAAAATACAACCGTTTTCAAGAAGCAATAATTATAATTTGATAAAGTCGGAACGTCATAACAGCAACGCCAACGACTTCATTAAAATTAATTGTTGCGTTTTGAAGGCGGTTATATATTTTTTTTAATTATTCACAAACTATGCCCTTAGGCTCAATTTATATAGCAGCGGAACGGAATGGAAGCGAATTTTTGTAACGTTATTGTACATAGCACAATGAATTTTATGGTCAATTGTGTAACGTACATGCTCGAGAATGCTCGAGCATTCCGCGGAAGATTTTGGCTCGTATCTAGTTTGTACCGTTACACAATCGACCATAATGTTCATTATGTTATGTATAATATCGTTACAAAAATTCGCTTCCATTCCGTTCCGCCGCAATATAAATTGAGCCTTATTTTAAACAAACAAAATGACTTAAATCAAAAATACCCCACATTTTAACCCAAGACGGTAAAATCTTACATTAAGATTTACCCCATATTTTAACCCAAGACGGTAAAATCTTACATTAAGATTGTAATGGACTTATTAATAGCAGAAAGTTGCTTTGATATAACTGAACCAAAAGTCATAATTTAAGAAATTTGGTTTCAGAATGAAATCAAACTTCTCTTAAACATAGAAAACATAAATCTTCAGTTAAATAATTATCTCTCAATTTTCATTCTTTTTTTTTCAAGTCAAAATCAGAAATTTCTAATAACAAATAAATATTTTCTTGAATCTAGAGTAGCTTTATGACTTAAATAAATTAATTTGCTCTTGGATTAAATATTTCTGTCTTAGAACTAAAATACACTTTTGAGACGTTTTTTTACTATTATCAAGTAATTATTCTCTAGCGTCTATAGGGAGCGAATCGTTTTCTTGGATTTAATAAAATTGTCTTCATACAAAGAAATTTGTCTATTTTTAAGTAATCTGTTTTTACCGTGCACAGTGTAACACGGGAATTGGATATAAAGAATCAATACTACCTGAGCTCGAATTAAAAAATTTTCCCGTACTAATACGGTACATTTACTGTCTACATTTTGTACACTGGCTTTATTTCAGAATTAATTTTTTTACAAACTAAATTATATAAAAATTGATATCGTATTATATGGTTTTTTTATATACAGCGGTTTTCTTGTAAAATTTCGAGGTAAGTTTTGTGTTTTTTTTCAATCGTGTAAATCTTAGGAATCGTGTTTTCGCATCGTATAGCGATGAGTGCTTAGAATAATAACGCATAGAAACCTAGTCCGCACACGCTAAGTGAGGCAAATTGAAGCGCGCCCAATGGGCCTACACGAGCGGGCGGGCCTTCAGTGCTCAAGGTCAACTTGCACCGCGAACAGCTCCAGAATTTTAGCTAAAAATGACGAAATGTGCGGTAAATGAGTGTAAAAATACGTCAGACAAGCATAAAATAGATACTAACATCACATTCCACAAGGAAGTAACGCGTTTCAACTTGTATTTTTATATAAATATTCACTAAAACCGAAAATTAACCTACTACTAAAACTAGCCTACATGAATTTTATTTTTGCCTCACTTGTGACAGATCGTTTGATATGAAACTATCATTCTATGGGTTATTATTCTAAGGATGAGTGTAAATTCTCAATTTTACTATATATTTTTTTCCAAACGGAAAAAAAAGTCATAAAAAATCTATTAATAGAAAGACTAGAAAACACTCTAACAAACCAGGCACCCCGCCAACAAAACTTATGGCTTATGGGCCGTTGATATACTACCGTTGGCCATAAGAAATCTTTCTCGTCGAAAAACAAATCATGGCCATTTTGATCCCATACATTATCATCATCATTTAGAAGATTCGGCTTAATAAAAAAATCCCTTTACGCGGGTACCTATTTAATAGGAACAAATTTTATGACCTCAGTGACCCAACGGTTTGCATTGTGGGCGCTGGATGAGAAGGTCCCAAGGTCGATTCCCAGTAAGATCAATTTTGGAAATGAACTTTTCTAAATCGTTCTGGTCTGGGTGTTGTGAGTGCCCTGAAGTGAATTTTTTTTTAAATAAAATAAAGTGACGGGACGAATAAGTAGTGCGCCTGATAGTAAGCGACACGCCTGTCCATAACAGTTCCAGTGCCACTCAGAGCTATAAATCGCAAAGATCCGAGGGGCACTGCCGCTGCGCCCGTCACCCTGAGACATAAGTAGACAAGTCCCATGTGCCTGTAATTTCACCAGCACCCTTGCCCTTCTAAACCGGAATGCAATAATGCTTACATTACTGCTTGGCGGTGGAAATAGGTAGCAGTATTTCCCTGAACGCCTCTTTCACAATAATAATAATTATAATTTAGTAATAACGCACACGCATAGTCCCGCACTAGGGAAACCCTAGACAACCACAAATTACACTCAAACTCAGGAGAGAAATAAATGTAGGCCATACAAATATTTCTCCCGGCACGGGAATCGAACCCGGTATCTCTGCGTGGCAGTCCAGGTTACTATAACCAAAAAAAACGGTTAAAAAACCACAGAGGCAATTAAACCAAACGTCTACTGCTACTAAATCTCATATTCAATGTACAGGGATTTTTCTACTTTGAGACAAGGTAGTTTGTGTAGTTGTCCTATAAAAACCTTTCTCATATTCAGTAAAATAATAAATTCTTTCGTGCAAGTGTCCATAAAAACAACCAAATTCGTGAATATGTTACACGTTTAGTTTTTAAACGAATACGTTCTCTAAAACAAAGTAATAAAACTTAACAGACTTAAAGGCCAGACCAAACAAACTATAAAAAAACAATAGTTGAAAAAACAAATGGTTTTAAAAGCCGAAAGTTACATAATTCATTTCTCAATTGGCTCTTAGTTGAACCGTTGTAAAACATAAAACCTATTATTATTTCAACGGTAACAGTAATTCAGTTCTCACCCGAGAATCGAACCCGGAGCCACGGTGCCCGAAAACAATCAGCGCTTATTAAAATAACTTGAATTCTTGTTTGGTCCAAGTTGTAAGAGTTTTGTTGAGATGGTAAATTTTATAAACAGTATAATTTACGTTACCAAAAAAAGACTCATCAAAACCCATGTTTGGAGCACCGCACTGTATGGATGCGAGACATGGACAATAACATTAAAAGACAGAAGAGACTGGAGTCATTTGAAATGTGGTGCTAGAGGCGAATGGAAAAAAACAACATGGATATAAAAGACATCAAATGAGGAAGTTTTGGAAAGGGTTGGGGAGGAGAGAAATCTTTTGAATGCAATAGAGAGGAGAAAGGGGAAAATGTTTAGATATTTGTTAGCTAATGACGAATTTGTGAAAGTGATAATTGAGGGGAGGATAGAAGGGAAAAGAAAAAGAGAAAGACCGAGAATGGCGTCAGCTATAAGGAGGTCAAAGAACTGGCTTTGAACCGTGAGGAGTAGAGAAGGCTACACCGACAAGAGTCTCTAGCTCTTAAATATGATGATGATGGTAATTTACGTACTTTGTGTTGAGTATGTTTCTACGATTGGCAGAAGCTCCTAATCGTTAACATTATGACTTATTAAAGACTTTTAAACTGGTTTCAAAAAAGGAAGATGTTCTCAATTCGACTTTTCTTTATGTATGTTACGCAATGACTCCAACATCTGTGAACCGATTTTGATAGTGAAAAGGAGATACCTCAATCATGGTTCTATTCAAATATGAAGAAAATATTCCACCTCTAAGGATGGCCAATTAGGGGATCTCAATCCGATTTATTGGATTTCTTAAACTTTCTTTTAACTAATTTGTGGTTTAAATAAAACTTGGCAAACACATGTAATTCCATAAACTTTTCAGGTAGATAGATAGATAAATAGAGTACTCGTTTATATTCTGAATCACAGTATATTACGAACAAGCTTATGACATAGTTACAATGGTAATCTTAAAGAAAAA